CACAGGGGGTTGCAAAGCAATGTTTGGGGGGAGTTTCACGGACCCTACTCCCTATGTTGGTGTCTGAAACAATTCTAATACAGTATCCAGTCCAGTAAAATGACATTGCCATGACCCATGGGGCATAGTCAGATCTCCCCGGGCAGACAGGCACTCCTATTTGTATGTGTGTATGTAGGAGTGGGGACGGGGCTCCAGCGTGTATCCAGCACTACAACCAGGATCCGGAGGCCCCACCCCCGCCTCTCCGAGCCCCACTGTGTCAACCCTTTGCGTCTCTGCCCACGCCCTGGGCCCCATCCCTAGTGCCTGGCAACCACCCATCTGGCAACTGTCTGCACACTTGTGTTATTCATGAATATTACACAACGGAAATCACGCACCGTGTATCCTTGTGAGGTTGACTGTTTTTCATTCAGCATCATTTCCTCGTGGTTTATTCACTTGAGTAGTTTTTTTAGAAACTTGTACTGCCTTCCATATGGAACTTATTCATTTCCACCCCTACCTTCGGGCCATCTCCCCTCCTGGGCTGTACCACTGCCTGCCAACACTGTACCTGTCCCTTGCCGCCTCCCGCAGATCTCCCTGCCATGTGCCTAGAGCCATCTGGGTCCTCTCTGTTCTAGCATCAGTTATGTACTCCTCACACCATCTCGTTCTCCACTTGCAGGTAGAAGGCAGAGATCATGTCCAACTTACCTTTCTATCCCCAGCATCTAGTACAGTGCCTGAAATGTAGGAGGTACTCAGTAAATTATTTTTTGGATGAATGAATGGTTGAAGTTGCTCTGTTTGGTTCTTATATTGTGTCTTGAATATGTTACCTTCCCAATAAGACTCTAAACTAGATTGTCAACCCCTTGACAGCAGCCACGACAATCCATTAATTTGCGTGCGCAGTTAGGGCTGCGTTAGGTATTTGTATGTGGCTTCAATGAGCATGTGCCTTTGTGTGTGTTGGGATGAAGTGAGGGCGTAAGTGTTTATGGGGCTGGTCTCCCAGCTGCCCAGCCTGACTTCCCACAGTCAGCAGGACGGACCTGGAAATGTCCGGGCTGAAGACGCTGGAGCACGTGGCGGTGACAGTCTCTATCACTCACCCACGACGCGGCAGCTTGGAGCTGAAACTGTTTTGCCCCAGTGGCATGATGTCCCTCATCGGCGCCCCCCGCAGCATGGACTCGTACGTACACCCGTCCATACCTTTGAGCTTTTTTTTTTGCATCAAGGGTCTTTGCAAGGAAAAGATACAGGAGATGTGGATGCTGGCCCTGCCCTGAGCTCTACGGCACGGGCTGACCATGGCAGCTGGAAGCCATTCATTGCCTGTCTTGTATAAGTCACTTACAATGTGCCAAGCACTGTACTTGACCAAAATTTTCTCTAATTCTTACAAGAACTATGCAGAGGAGCCTTTAACCTCCTTTTACAATGAGGAAATAAGTCGCAGAGCTAGTAAGTGCCTGAGGAAGTAACAGCCTAGATCTGTCAGGCTCCCCAGCCTGTGCTCTCCCCACATTTCTTTTCCCACTGTGACATGTTGACACCAGTCCCTCATCTGGGATCCCCGGGGAAGAGACAGCTCTTGGGGACCCCTCATGGCACGCTCCCCAGTGGCTGTAGCTCAGGCCACAACTGCTACATCTTGACGGCTACTGCAGTGAGGAAATCATGTTTGTGGGCAAAGGGTCAGTTCCCTGCCCTACGCCTTCCAAGTTTTCTACTCTTTCCTGCCCCCCACAGAGATCCCAACGGCTTCAATGATTGGACCTTCTCCACCGTGCGGTGCTGGGGGGAAAGAGCGAAGGGGACTTACAGACTCATGGTCAGGGATGTAGGTAAGCCTGCCTGCCTTCTGTCTGGTCCCTCTGGAGCGCAGAGCCCCCACAGAGACCATCCCGTGGAGAATGCATAGGGTTGCCATTGGACCAACAGGGTAGATGCCAAGAAGTACATCCCATCTAAAATATGGGTGCTGAAATCTGAAATTGTTCATTGATACTACCTCTCATATTCCTTGGAGAAGTGACTGATCCATTTTTCCTCAGGATAGCAACAAAAATTCCCTGTTGAAACCACATTTCAAGTTCTTTCACATATAACCATCCTTCGACCAGCCCTGGTAGGCAGGTAAGGGCAGGACTAATTTTCACCATTTTTTGGTTGTTGTTGTTTTTTTTTTTTTTTTTTAAACTGAGGTCCACCCAAAGGTCTGAAGTGACTGGTGCAAGGTCATACAATATTCCAGAGGAGACTGGAAACCAAACCCAACTCTCCTGGCTTCCAGCCAAGTTAGGTATTCACTAGACTGGTGGTTTTCAAACCTTTCTTTAATTTAGTAGGAAAAAAAATTTTTTTCAAGCAAAATCCCAACTGAAACCCTAAAATACGAAAGAAACAACGGCAGAACTTCTTTGCTTCGGAGTTAGACCTTTCAGCCTCCCAGTCTCCATCCCTAAGGGCACCCCGTGAGGCACACCTGCAGAAGCCCTGGTCAGTGGACACAGGCCTCTACTGCAGCAGATCGTGTGCTCCAGTCCCCCTAGGAGGTGGGGCGGGCAGGGCCTCTGCTGCTTGCAAGGCCAGTGGAGGGGCAGGGCTCACGGACGCCCCACTTGATGCCCTAGGAGATGAGACACTCCAGCCTGGCATCCTCCGGCAGTGGCAGCTGACCCTGTATGGCTCTGTGTGGAGTCCAGTAGACATCAAGGACAGGCAAAGGTAGGTGCCAGATGCAGGTGCCAGGGGGAAGGCTGCTCATGGGGCTGGAGGAGGCCGCTGAAGGAGCTCCACCTCCCTGGGAACCCACAGTACAGCTCCCCACCCCATTTTTGTAATGAGGCTTCCTCCCTCTCTCCAGCCCTGAGGTGGGAGGAGGAGTGAGGGCCCAAGGGAGGGGGCACAAGTTCAGGAGGGCATCCTCATGTCTTTTCTTCTCCACAGACTGTTAGAAAGTGCCATGAGTGGAAAATACCTGCATGATGGCTTCACTCTGCCCTGCCCTCCTGGGCTGAAAATCCCCGAGGAAGATGGTTATACCATCACCCCTAACACCCTCAAGGTACGAGGGCCTGTCCTCCAGCTACAGCTGGGTGGGCCAGCAGGAGTGTCCCGGCAGATCGAGTCTTTGCTGGGGTACTCCAGGGGACTTGAGAAGTGAGGGGCTGGGAGGACCTGGGTGGGGGCGAGTGCTTCAGGGTGGGAGAGGTAGTCTCTGGAAGGTGACAGGCTTTTTCTGAGTTCATCGTTCTGGGCCAAGGAAAGCCACAGGCTTTGGGAAAGCATCACTAACTTAGGTGCTTGACTTTTCCCCAGACTCTGGTGCTGGTAGGCAGTTTTACCATCTTCTGGACCGTTTACTACATGCTGGAAATATACCTGAGCCAGAGGAACGTGGCCACTCACCGAGTTTGTAGGAGTGGACCCTGTCACTGGCCCCAACGAAGCCAAAAAGCCAGGGAAGAGGGAACAGAACTAGAATCAGTGCCACTTTGCAACAGCAAGGATCCAGATGGAGTGGAGACGGAACGTGAGGGCCCTCCCACCACCTCTGGTCCCCTTGCCCCAGACCTGCTGGCTCCAGGGGACTGGGGCCCATCCCAGGACAGGAGTACCCTGAACTGCCCTCATCATCACCTAGCGCCAGACCTGTTGCAGGGGAAAGAGGAGCAGATTTGCTGACCCAAGGCCTAACAGACTCAACGCGGGACGGGCTCTTCCTTCCTGAAGCCAAGGAAGCTGGGAAGGCTGCTCTGAAGTTCCGGGAGCTCTGGGGAGAAGGCAGCCGTGATGCTAGCATCAGGAATCCACGGGCCTAAAGAGCACGCTCTGACTTCACTCTGGGAGGGCGAGGGCCTTCTGAAAGTGCAGTGACAGGAAGAGTCCCGGAGAACAGTGTGGCCACAGCCACTGGATCTTCCTCCAGCTGGGCGGGGGCTCTTGGTGAGAAGGTCTTGGACACGTGCTCAGCCCCTCCCATGGGGCAGGCCTACCACCTCGTTTCTCCTGGGCAAGCCAGTGATGTGGGTCATGGGGACCCTCACCCACGGGCGGCCGGGGTGGAGCCTGTGATGGCCAGAAGAGCCCCTCCGGAGAAACGTCACTGGGTCACATGGGAAGAGGGCTCGGGCTGAAGGCTGGGAAGAGCCGGTGGCTATATGCCTGCCTTTTAATGACCCAGGACCTAGAAACAGCTGTCTCTTCTTCTCCCTCCGCCCCCTCCCTGCCTACGCCTGGAACCTAAGACATACTGGTATGGCAGTTAGCCCTCCACCCAGCACACTCGCCCTGAAAGCAGCTGCCTCCGTTAGTCCCCATCAGAAGCCAAGGCCAAACACACCCCGACTCCTTCCCCGGCGCCCCTCACCCTCCATCCTGAAGGATCGGTACGATGCTCCTGGCAAAGCTGCGGATGGGCATGGGTCCCCCCGGCACCTGCGCGGCTTCACGAGGCAGTCTGTGGCAGGACTGTGACGGGGACAGCCACTGCCACTCCAGCCCTGCGACCGCCCTGTCTTCCCCTGCACAGTGCTCAGGGAAATGGCCTTCCTCACTGGAGGCCAGCCGTCTGCCTGACGGGCTGTGACGCCTCCCGGCATTGGCCTCCTCCCCTCTTCTGAGCTAGTTGATTGATCAAAAGTTTTTTTAACGCTTAAGATTTGGGTTTCTCTTTTCACAGCCACATTTGGTTGAATGTTTTTCTGCACAGCTTTTCCAAAATAAAAACCTTCCACGCAACGCTGCCCTTCCCCATCCTTTCCTCGGCCTCCTAGAGCTAATGCCAGTTGCCAAGTCGCTCCTCCCGGCCTTCGGTCCCTGAAGTTCACTCTCCTCCTCCTCTGCCTGGTCCTCTGAAGGATGCTGACCCCTCCTAGGATCCTAGGATTCGAGGAGTCCTTCAGAACTGGCGGCCAGGAATACCTGTAAATGTTCCTTGCCTGCTCATATTTCCTGGAACCAGAAGTGACTAGGGCAAATCAAACTCTGCCAGCCAGGCCTGAGAAAAGATTGCTGTATATATTTGTTTCTTTTTTGAATTTCAACCCCCAAAATATTCCAGCAAAAAAAATGGGGGGAGGTTGGGCTGGGTTTCCTTCAAGGGCATCTGCTGCCAAGGAGGATAGTGGACTTGCCCCCGCCCAGGCCCCCCCAGCCCATGGCCCCACTGCCTGGCCCAGATGGGGAAAGACCGGGAGACGGTAAGGGGGCTGGGAGGAGGAGCGGTGCTTTGGGGCAAGAAGTTGGGCTGAGGCTGAGGGGTGGGGGGAGAGCTGCCCAAGTGCGGTCACCTTTGCTCAGTGACGGAGCCTCGAAGCTTGGCCGGGGCTGAAGGAACACACAGGTGTGGGTGAGGCAGGCGAGGCAGGATGGCTGCAGCCGACGAGCTGGGGAGGGGCAGGGCGGGGGCCTGGCCCCCTCCCTCTAACTGATGATCTGCCGGGGTCGTCCGTAGCCCGTCATGCCAGCCTGGGAGGCCCCCCTGTTGCTGCCCATCTGTAGGCCAATGACGTGCTTTCCCTCCTGCAGCTGGCTCTCCGTGAATTCCCTCTTATGCTCCTGGGCTTTCCTGGAAGTGGGAAGCCAGGACAGAGACTCAGGCTGTACCTCTTCCACCGGAGTTCCGTTGCCTCTGTGCTTCCGAGCCCGATCCCATGGCCCCCGCCCCACTGCTCCTGCTCCCTTCACCGAGCTTGTCCCATGCGCCACGGAGCCTGGCAAGTAGCAGGGACCCACGCTCCCCCAGCCTAGCCTTCACTTCGTACCCCCCGACTGTCCGCTTCCCCACCTCCCCGGCCTTGGCGGTGTGCCCCCGGCCGCCACCCCCACCCCCCGCACGGACATGGGCTTAGAGCAAAAGGAACCCTTGCGGCCACATACTTCATAAACCAGTTGGGGTCTCCACGGTAGTGTCCATCATTCTTGGTCACCGCCAAGCTGCCCAGGGCCATCAGGGTCCTCTGCACAGCCGCCAAGTCTTTGCCTGCGAGAAGAAAGAAAGGGATAGGGATGGACTTCAGGATGGCACATACAGGGCTCCACGGCAGGGCCCACCCCACCTCTCAGAAAACGGGCCGCCCAGGGGGGCTGGTCCCGGGACGCCCCCCCCTCCCCCATGCGGATGGCTGGTGTCCTCTGGGCACATCCCGCCCCGGCCGTGCAGAGCTGGAGCTGCCGTGCATCCGTCAGTCCTCGGCCCCCCTGCCTCAGCCTCTGCCCTCCCCAGGCCCCTCCACCGCTTTCCTCTCTCTGTACCTTCATAGAGGTCGACGGTCTGGAACATGTCCGTCTTGGTGACCCCGTAGTCCTCCGCTGCCTTCAGGAACTGAGCCACCTGCTCCATCTGCTTGAAGACCATGGACGGAGGGTTCTCGGGGACCTTCACCGGCTTGGAACCGTCCGGATACAGGCTGTTGACCAGCTTGCTCAGAATCTGCGGGGCACACAGGCAGCTTGGCGCTCAGCTCGGGGGGCCCACCCCGCCACTCCAGCAGGGTGCCAAGGCCCCAGCCCCCCTTCCCAGGGTGCCACTTACCACGCCGTTCTTCAGCCAGACCTGGAAGCCCAGGCGCCCACGGTCCGGGCGACCTACGTCGGAGCCGCACTGCATTACGATCCACTCCACCAGCCGCTCCTCCAGCTCCTCGTCATACTTCTTCTCAATTTTGGATTGTACTTCACGGCTCATGCCATAGGAAGGACCCTTGTTGGCCATGTTGTAGGAGCTAAAGTGGCACAGGCCAGAGAAGGGAGGCGGTCAGAGGCTCAGAGAACAACTCTGCCTTCACTTGTGCCAGGCAGGCCTTCCGGCTTCCAGGTGGACGCGGTGGAGCGGGGGGCGGGGGGAGCACCCATCCATCCTAGACATTTGTTGACCTCCCCTTGTTTCCTCATTTTGTTTTCATGACACTGCCCATCTGGGCCAGGCTCCTCCCCTAAGTCCAGGGAGCCTCTCTGAACTTAGGGACCAGAGACACAGGAGATCTGTGGTATCTTTGGAAGTCTAGAGCGAAGGTCGATAAACCGATTTTTGTGAACAAGCAGACAGTAAGTATTTCAGGCTTTGCAGGACATATGGTCTCTGCCATTGTAGCACGAAAGCAGCCTTAGACAAAACATAAACAAGTGAGTATGGCTTTGATCCAACAAAACTTTATTTACACAAACAAACAGCAGGCTGCATTTAGCGTAGGGGCCATAGTTTGACAACCGCTGGTCTAGAGTATTCTTTCTTTGCCAAAATTGGCCACGGAGGCACTGGAAATGCCTTCCAGAGGAGGCCACACTGCCCCCACAAAATAAGGCAGCAGGTTTCTTTGTCCAGCCGGGGCGTGAGGTGATCTGTTGGTTCTGCCTTAAGTTACAGAGTTACCTTACCTCTCCCTCCACTTTATCCTCAGCCCCGAAGCTGGAACTCCCAAAACCAGCTCTTTGCCAGGTCAGCTCAGCCTCTGGCCTGTAGCTACTGAAGAGGCTCGAACTCTTCCACCCCTGGTAAGGTCTAGGAAGCCAGCAAAACCCAAGAGCCTTTGGCTGAGAAGCTGCACTTCCTCGAGTGGGCCAGGAGAGAGAGAGGGAGAGGACTGATGGACCCATCCATCGACTTTCCCTTGTGCCCTCAGGCTCCCGCCACTGCAGTAGCTGAGTCCTAGGAGCCAGAGTCCTCCAGGGATATCCCAGAGCCAAGAATCTGCCAGCCAGAGCATGGGGAGCCCCTCCCTGTGCAGAGCAGCAGCAGCTGCCGTCCTGGAGGCCTGAGGCTGGCCCTGCTCGGGAGAGCCCCATAATGTGGGGGGAAGGCTGCAGGAGCAGGGCCTGTAAGGTAGGCCTCTGGGCAGACGTGGCTGCTCCAGAGGAATGTGACCTGGCTCCAGGTATCAGCCTGCGGTGGTGCCCAGAGCTCACTGGAAGAGCCCTCCGAGAAAGATACCAAATGAGGCCAGAGCCACCGTCTGGCCCCGGAGAGGTCAAAGGTCGGGAGGGAGACCACCACCACCCCACCCCCCACCCCCCCCCCCCCCCCGGCTGAGGATGGTAGTCAGCACACTCCTCTGACTCCCTCTCACCACTGCGGAAAGCAGAGTGAGCTGCCCTACTCTTTCTCGCCCCACAGCTGACAACCGTCCTGCATTCAAGTTCCCCATCCGTGCCCAGATGAGGACCAGGACGTTCCCTATGTCAGAGGGCTGTGCCTTCAGGGAGCAGTGTCTGTGACTCCCTCCCAGAGTCGCCTCCTGGTGGTGACGGGGAGAGCCTGCGCCTGCGCCACGGACAAAAACTGTTTTTCCCACCCCAGCCTCCACTCCTCTTCCAAGTCATCCCCTGAGGGAACAACAAAGGTTGAGACAAAGAGCACGAGATGGACTCATCTAAATTCCAGCTATTGGGCAACTCGCTTCTCTCAGACTCGCAAGCCCCAGAGGGCTGGGCCACCCAGTTGACACCAGAGAACCCAAAAGCAGTCTCTTCTCTGTTTCTCTATGAACAGCCAGTCCCTCCCTTCCCCACCCTGCTGTGTGTCTCACACCTGCTTCCCTGCTTCCCAGCCACTGGAGGGCAAAAGACTAGCCCAGGAGCCCCACAGGTCAGCAGGGACCAGGTGACTTGGATGCAGCCTTCATCCCGACCCAGCTCAGCCTTGACCCCACCAGCCCAGGCGGGCGGCATGCACCCCTGTGGTCCAGGCACCCACCACCTTCCACACTGCCCCCCCTGGTACTCCCCACCCCACCTTCCCTCCCCCCCCCCCAGACTGTGGAAGCCCCCCCGACCCCACCAGTTTTCAGTCTAGGAGATTCAGAGCAGACAGTTAAGCTGTCAAGGCTCATGGTGACAAGTACATGAAGTTGCAGCTCCTAGATCTAGAGACAGTATTTGGGTTTTGCTTAGAACAGGGACGGGGATGAAATGCACCCCACTCACCCCACCCCACCTCCTCCCTCCTGGTGAAGAGTTTGAAAGTGGAGGATTCTGAGAAATCCCTCTTAGTCCTCTGACCGAGACCTCCCCAGTCCCACTTTGCTGCTGCTGGGAAGAGGACAGGAAGAGGGGAAGGCCTTTCTAGATAAAGCCTCTCCGGACAGGAGAGGCAGGACAGCCTCCACTTTGACCCTCCTGCCTTGTGGCTCCTGTCAGCTTCCCCTCCCCTAAGACAGAGAGTAAAGTCCAGCTGTGAAGGGGCAGCGAGCACCTGCTCCCAGCAGGAATGCAAAAAAGCTAGCAGAACCAGGGCGTCTCTAGGACCCCTGGGTCCCCTCTTTCCTGGAAATAAAACACAGCCAATAAGAGCAAGCATGGCAGGAGGGAGGGCTCATCTAAATTCGGAGGACAGAGAAGAGGGACCCTATGTACCGCTATCCTCTGGATAGTAACCACTGGGGGGAACCAGCTAGATCCTTCAGGAAGGGCCCAAGCAAGGCTCCTGCAGTGCCCACCGCTCACCCCTCTGCCAGCAGCGGGGTCACCTCCCACTTTCTGAGGATGGCAGGAGCCATGCATCCAGCAAAGCAGCTCTTGCAGGTCCCTGTGCCCTGCCACGCCTGCCTCAGTGGCTCCCCAGGGCCTCTCCTATGCTGCTTAGGCCCTGGGTATGCTCCCACGGGACACTGCTCTCGGGCGCTGGTGTACTTGCACACCTCCTGGCCTCCCTGGGCGTCTTCCTAGATGGACACCAAACAGAGCCTTGTGTCTAAGCTCTGACACACTCCAAGATGTGTCAACACCTCAAGCCCATCACCCCATAGGCGTGATGAGGGCTGAGCCCGGGGACCCCCCTCGCACTCCAGTCGCCAGGTTTTCACCATCAATCCCTCTGCATCAGCGAGTCACCCTAAACATTTCAAGCAGCCTGGGGCTGCCCAGTCCCAGCGACATGGGACTCTAGCAGCCTCATCCCCCCATCAAGGAGGAGCACCTCCCCATCTGGAGATCAGGAATGCCAGGGAGCTGGAGACCAGGACCCCCCAGAGCCCGGTCCCGAGCACACCCTCTGCTACTGTCAGGCCCTAGCCCACCTTCCCTCCAGCCCGGGGATCCATGCACTTACAGGGGTTCCTCGGGCTCGCAGGAGGCAAAGAGCTCTCGTGTCTGAACTTGGACAGACAGGACGGGGCGCTGGCTGGGTGGGGGGTTTAAAGGGCCGCTGCCGCGGTGATGTCAGCCTCCCCCGCTGGCTCACCCCTCAGCCCCCTCCCTGCCAGAAGAACCCAGCCTGCTCCCACCCCCGGCCCCCCCAGTGACTCCACACAGGCTCCATATTTGGGGAAAGACACCAAGTCGGGGCAGTCTGCCGGGGCTGCCGAGACATTCTCTGCGTGCTTTGGAGATGGAGCGGGCGGGGCGGGGCGCGCTGCCGCGGGGAAGCGCCGGGAAAAGCCTTTTATGGACAGGACCACGAAGGCCTTCCCGCTGTCTGGACTTGGGGCTGCTCCTTCCTCACTGCTCCCTGCCCCCGAGTCCCAGGGGAGGGGAAATTCAAGGGGGTCTGGCCCGAGAGAGGGGGAAGGAGCTGGGGATCCCTCCCTGGGGCTTGTGGGGGACTGGCCAGCCGCCTCGTCCTCGGAGGTTTCTGCTCCAGCTGGAGACAGGAGCTCCCTCCACGAGGACCCAGACGCGCCAGGCACATGCCTTGCAAAGGCTCTCACTGGGGGCTACGGCGGCGTGGGAGCGTAAGGACTAACCTCACTTTTCAGATGAAGAAACAGGCTCAAGGTGCAACTAACGCAGGCCACGCGGGGGTCATGAGTGGGAGCAGCTGGAGGTCCCTGCCGCCCCCGCAGGGCAGGGAGAGGCTGGCAGCCCCACTCCTTCAGGGGTAGCACCCCGCTCAGGTGCAGTCTGGAGTGCCATGCATTAGCCGGGGTGGCTCTGGGCGGCAGCACCGAGGCCCTGGCCCCTATCCAGAGGGTTTCTTCTTTTTTTTTTTTTAAAGTATTTATTTATTTATTATTTATGATAGACATAGAGAGAGAGAGAGAGAGGCAGAGACACAGGAGGAGGGAGAGGCAGGCTCCATGCCAGAAGCCAGATGTGGGACCGATCCTGGGACTCCAGGATCGCGCCCTGGGCCAAAGGCAGGCGCTAAACCACTGGAGCCACCCAGGGATCCCCTCCAGAGGGTTTCTAAGGCGGGTGCTGGGCAGCACTGGGTGGGAGGCTCAGAGGCTGCTGCGCTCCCTCCCTCCCGTCGGAACAGCCCCCCCCTACACCCCCCCCCCCCCGAGAGCGGACTGGGCGCTATCACTCCAGGGAGGAGACCCACTCATAGGTGGCTCGCACCTGGCCTCGGGTCTGGGGAAGGGTGGAAGGTGAGACTCCCCGCGGGGCCTCGTGGGCTGCCTGCGGCACCAACCCACTGCTTTCCCTGAGCGGCGGGGCAGGGAGGAGCTAACACTCTCCACCGCCCATGGGACACCCTCCCTGAGAGGGGCAGCTAGGCCTGGGGGTTGGGGGTGAGGGGGACGCCCACCACCTGCAGCCTAATGCCCAGCCCGAGAGGCAGAGCTGCAGTGGCCCCCAGTGGTGTTTGCTGGGAAGAGCGGGGAGCGGGCCGGCCTCCGCTAGAGGGCAGCACACCGCCCATTAGTTCTCAGTTCACCAGGGCCTGCCCCCCCACCCCCCAATCTTGGGGTCTTAGGCCTGTTGGAACCAAGTCAACATTCTAGGGTCGTTTCAAAATTCCCTCTTCTGGGAGCCTGCCTGCCACCTGCACGCACTTACCCACCGTACATCACCATCATGTTCCCCGAGAACCAGCCCAGCCTGGGCCTGCCTTCTCCTGGCCACTCAAGTCAGGTCGGCGGGCACAGGCTGCACAGGCAGCCCAGCTGGGAGACGCCCAGGTCAGACGCGAAGCCGGCCTGACGTGTGGGTGAGGGGCTCAGTGGGCAAAGGCTGCTGCCATTTGCCAGGCTAGGGCGGGGGGCAGGGATCTCAGCGGGGGGATGGCACTGCTGAAGCTCATTCACTGCATACTCTCTGCCCAGCACCGTGCCTGGCATGCAGCAGGCCCTGGGGTGGGCCTCCAGGACTGACGCAGCTGCTCGGAGGAGAGCCGTAACATGGGTTACTCGAGGGCACATAGGGGAAAGCAAGGGGGACTCTACTTTGTTGAAAAGAGAAAGGGAGGGACGCCTGGGCGGCTCAGCTGTTGAGCATATGCCTTCGGCTCAGGGTATGATCCTGGAGTCCTGGAATCGAATCCCACATCGGCCTCCCTGCATGGAGCCCGCTTCTCCCTCTGCCCGTGTCTCTGCCTCTCTCTCTGTGTCTCTTGTGAATAAATAAAATCTTAAAAAAAAAAAGAAAGGCAGACCACAGGAAGCGAGAAACAGAGGGCCTGTCCCACCCCTCCTTTTCAGCACCTCCACCCCGACGAGGGGGAGAAAATGGGGGACCAAGAACTGCATCTGGTTGTTTCTTTAATCGAATGCAGACTCATTCATAGAAAACAGAAATGCAACCATAGCATGGAGACAGACATTAAACGGAGTTCTGAAAAAAGATCCAGATCCCCCTCCTCCCCGTGGCCCCAGGGAGAGCTATAAAAACAAGTTGGGCAGAACAAAACACACACCCGTCCCCGAGCCGGAGCCCAACCTGAACTCCCCCATCTTGGCATTTGGACCGGACCAGGTAGGGTGATGGGGACCCAAGGGCCAGAGCGGCCAGGGGCCGAAGTCTCCTACATATATACGTGTGTGTGATTAACACAGAACTTGGCCGAAGACGGACAGAAACACGGAAGCCAGCCCTGCGTCCTAGAGTGAGGCTGGTCCGGGCACAGCAGGGGCAGAGCGTGTCCCTTCCTGAGCCTCCTTCTAAGATAGGCACTGGGGCTCCCACGGCTGTGAGGAGGCAGGAGGAGCCGGGTGCCTTGGGGCCCCCTCCTTCGCCCCTGGACATTCTTGGACAGCGTCGATGGCACTGAGAGGCCCCCAGCTGGGGCTTGGCAGGGCCGAGGGCCGGAAAGAAAAGGAAAGGGGCGAATTGATCTTTCCCTCCAATCGTGGTGCCCACATCAGTCCAGGGGCTGACGGGATAGGAAGTTGACCTCTGAATTCAGCCCCTCAGATCAAGGCGACCCTCACATGCAGGCTGACCCTTTGACTATAGAGCCAGTACCAAGCACAGGTCAGAGGGAGGAGGCACCACTGCCTGAAGCCCCTCTTAGGCCTTAGCACCAAAAACCTGGCCCCAGCCGGCCAGCCTCCACAATCCTACACCCGCATTTCATCCTGACTGGAATGGGCAGTGATGGCAGTCGCGTACAGCCCCAAAGAGCAGTGGGGCCCTGGTACAGGACGGAGAATCAGGCCCAACCAGGCCTGAACTGGAGCTCGGGAAGAAGAAAGGGCTTGGGGTGCAGGCTCCGGGGAGGGGAAGGACGGACAGAGTGCGAGGCAGTGAGATGGGCAGGGCAACACTTCGCTCCTTCGTCCTGCAGAGGGACAAATGGAGAGCCAACAGCAGGGCCCGTGAGAGGCCCTCAACACTGAGAAGCAGCAGCAATTGGCCAACATCTGGGGTGTGAGGGGAGCAGGCCTCCTCCCCAGCAGAGAGCAGCTGCAAGGCTCAAGGCTCCCGCCATGACTGTCCCAGGCCAGGCTTGGCCTAGACCTTGCTGTCCTGCTGTCACCCACCCTGGGCCGCAGGCTGGGGACTCACCCCCGGAGCTCTGAAGGCTCCAGGCAGGGTGGCAGGAGGCCTTGGGGCCCCATGAGTAAAGCAAGGGGCCTAGCTCCTGCTAGAACACGTAGATCTTGTCCCGCTGCACGGTGTCCAGGTCGTCGTCCAGCGTCAGCAACACCTGGGGAAGGACGTGGAGTCAGGCCCAGGCCAGCGGCCGACCTCGGCCTCCACCCCACCCCCTGCTTGGGCAGGACAGTCTCACGGACCAGGAATGACCCAAACATGGCAATGGAGGACAGGAAGTGCCAGATATCGTGGTCGTCAAAGAAGTCCAGGAGGATGCAGTCGCGGTTGTGTTCCCGTGACTCGGCGGGGGTTTTCTGGGGAGGAACAGAGAGCCTGTGGATGCGGCCCACCCAGGCCCGGGGCCAGACCCGCCCGCGGCTCCCTCGGCCGCCGTGCTCCCGGCACCAGGCACGAGAGCACCCTCCTTCTGACTCATCCTCACCATCCTCTCCCACATCTAAGAACTGGCTTTTGTTACAGATTTCCCCCAGAGGATGCTGGCTTCTGCCCTTTCCTTTCACTTTTACCCTCATGCCTTGGATTCTTCTGCTGTTCACACCAGCAGAGGGTTGAGATCACCTTGAGATGCCCCCTAACTTGGGTCCCTGTCTTGGACTCTGCCCCCTGCTCCAATCTGCTCCTCCAGGCTCACTCGTTCTCCAAAGCATTACTAGCAGGTAACCCCCACCCACCCACCCCCCACAACAGGAACCATGATGTGGGCCACGTCCTAGGAAACTCGGGGTCCTCCATGCTCACCCATGATCCCTACCCAACAAACACTCACCGGACACCACTATGTCTGGGGACCGTCTCTGCCACATGCTGAGGCCACTGATATGACAAGAACTATCCTGACCTCAGGGGTTCACAGTCTTCACTCGGCTCCCAGATTCATATATTTGTTGACCCCAAATCTGCCTAGATTGGGGACCACTATGTCTGGGGACCGTCTCTGCCACATGCTGAGGCCACTGATATGACAAGAACTATCCTGACCTCAGGGGTTCACAGTCTTCACTCGGCTCCCAGATTCATATATTTGTTGACTCCAAATCTGCCTAATCTAGTTCTGCCTTTGAGTCATTACTCCGGTCGCAGCATTGCTAGGCCACGGGGCCCTTTCTCATCGCCCAGGGCCTTTGAGACCATGAGCAAGGTCCACCTCCTCCAGGAAGCTTTCCTGGACCTCCTATGTCCTCTGCCCTCGTGTCCATGTCCCCTTCCTGTCTTGCCTATGTCCTTCACCTTGTGGATCATATTGCAAAGAGTAGTCCAGGAACTGATGGTCTCTCTCCTGAACTAGATTAAAGTACTTCAAAGGCAGAGGACCATGCCAGGCTTGGTTCTGATCATAGAATTGAAACCTGATTCATGGCAGGTGCCTACAAGGGTGAGGGGAGAGCCTGGAACTTCTGGCTTCAAACCCCAGCTGTGCCACTGGCTGGCCATGTGACCTTGGGCAGGTGCCTTGGCCTC